AGGAAATAGGAATAAATGTAATTCTACGTTTTGGGAAACTATACTTTGTTTCCTTTTTTAAAAACAATACTTAATTGATAAAAATATTAAACAAGGTAGGTATTACTTAATATAATTTAATTTGTTTTAATCTTATCAAAGGTGTTCTGCTTCGAGTGAAAAGGTCCAATATAACAAATAAACATGCGCGTTTGGGAACGGCCCAAATGCTAGCGTATAAGAAACAACAAACGTTTTATGTTACCTTAAAGTAAAGCACCTCGCCAAGTTTCAGACGAGAGTTAATAAACATTTATTTGAGATTTGCTTTAAGGACTACCAACTTTTCAAAGTTTTGGTCACTTAAAGCATTTCTTCTTGGGGCGTTCACAATTTGAGCAAAAGAAAAGAGGCGCTCCACGGACGCCGATGATGGTAAAATTGTGTTGAACTTTAAAAAAACCTGTTTGATATATTTATAATCGTTCAACATATCTAAAGTAATTCTTGTATCGTTCAAATATTTCAAAACTTCTAACTCGCTCAAGGAAGCATTTGTATTAGCATCTATATCATTTTTCAGTCTTGGTAGTTCTATTTCGGATTCGTCCTCCTGAAAATCGAAAAAAGGATCATCTGACTCCGATACAACTGTTACTTTTTTTTTTGTTTCTTCTATAAAACTTTCGACTGCGGCAACGACCCACCCTTGGATTTCTTTAAACGAAGGAATATCATTTGTAGTCACCTTAAAGGCACTGTACCATCTCATTTTAAATCTTGGACATACAACTGCCGCAATCACAGCAGTTTTTGAATTCATGTTCAAGGAAAATATATCTTTAAACCTTTGCTCAACGGAATTAATTATTGCCTCCAGAGGTGAATATAGTTGTTTTATCTTTCCAGACGATTTTATTTTTTGCAGTTTTGTTTTCATGGACACTAAGCTCGGAAGCAAATATCCATAATATGTGTTTTGCTCCCCTTGAAGGAAATCCAGTGTTTCTGCAAGAGGCTGCATGATTGTGATATATTCTTTTAGAAATGATACTTCGCTTTGCTTAAACCCTGGTATCATGAGCTTATCACACAAAGGGGCTAATTTTTCTTTTATAGAAACGATTTTACATACAGCATCATATGTTGAATTCCACCTAGTAACTCCTGGGATAGTCAAATTGTGACCGAGAAAATGCTTGATTACTTCTGCAGACTTTGGGCGACCGGATTTGTTCCATAACTTAGAACACTTGGAAAAAATTTGTGTATTTTTTAGTCTTAGTGCATTAGATATCTTCAATGAATTATTATAATCCGTTGTGGCTATAAGATTTATGGTATGTGACGCGCAACGCACATGTTGAGGTAAATATTTCTTTTCTACTTCCACCTGTGTTTCGCTTAAATCAAGAGTTAAAAACGTACAGTACTCATCGTCACTTTGAATGCAAGGTTTCATCGTATCAGAATTATCTTCCTCGTCGTCTTCTTCTATACCAGTATATTCGTCATTTATTGTATCGATGTTACAACCAAACTCTTTAAAACATTTGACAAAATTAGAACCATTGTCAGTCACAGTGGCCAAAATTTTATTCGTATCAAGATGGAACCGTTTATGTATATCATCTAAAGCCTCAGCAACCCTATCGTAAGAATGTGTACCCGCAAACCTTGAGCATGCTAAGGCCACAGAACGTCGTTGCAGATCTTCGTTGAGCCAATGACAAGTCACGCCTAAGAAACTACGGCTTTTTGAAGACCAAATGTCTGCCGTGGTACACACATGGCCTACTTTAGAAATTTCCAGTTTCAGATCATTGCAAGTGTTCTCATACATTACATTAATTTTTTTAACTGCTACTGAGCGATCCATAATATGAACATTCATACCTTCGAACATGTTTTTAAAACTATCATGCGAAATGATTGAAATTGGTGACATTGTGTCAATTATAAACTTTATTATTCTCTCATCAAACAACTTTTGCGTGGGCTTTTTTTTAAAACTGAATGAATGGTTACTTGCTTTTTTAAGTTTTTCTCTGCAGAGGAGTCACTAATACTTAAAGTACGCTTCTGTTGACGATTTAAAGTAATCTTTTCTGTTTTATATTGAATGTAGCAATCATACTTATTTGAATGCTTTTTTTTAAGGTGTTTGAGAAAATTGGTGGTAATGTTCAAAGAACCTTTAATTATCGCCTTATTTGGCAAGCAGAGTTGGCATTGCGCTTGTATGTGGTGGGTCACTTCATCCTACAAAGAATAGCGAAATTAGTAATATTGGCGAAGTGGCTAGCATTCTAACTTATGCTTTGTAAGAAATCACGCTCGATTAGCCAATCACATGCTTTTATTTCTCAGAATTCACGGTAACATGCAAAAATCACATCGCATATAAAGTAGGTGCACTTTTTGTGAACCGGTTGTAACCAGAAGCTGATACTGATATCAGCAGGGCTGCAGTCGTAAAATTAGCAGAGGGTAGAAATTTTGTTTCTATTCCCGGGACACCTGATACTGGAGAGCCTAAAAAACTCTCAGGGGCAGCGCGCCGGAAGCTAAAGAAGATGAGGCAGGAACCAGGGGGCTTCAAGCAACCAACAAGTAATAATAATAATAGCAGAGGGTATACTGTGCACGCATCGAAATGATCAGAAGGTTTACTCTATAAAAACGGCTGTATAATTTCATATTTAGCATTTGTAATAACTATAATAAATGGATTAAAAATTAATGCATGTGGTTGAGATGATAGATTAATCGGTTATTTTTGTCTGATTTAATCAAAAGATGTTTATAGTGATATAATTAGTACAGGATTACGCTGTTATTTTAAATAATAATTGTAAACATCTTCCCATGCCGGCCGCCGCCTGCAATGCAACCTGTTATATTAAGATCTTCTTTGTAGGTATTACTGTATTAGCGAGGGATATTGTAATGCCATGTCATAAAGCATAGGTACCTAAGACCTGCAATAAATAACAAAAGGGGTGCCTTGTTTGTTTTGTTAAGCAAAATTTCAGGAAAGGCCGACTTACACATTTTACTAACATGATTCATAGTTCGTTTATTTCAGGACTTATTTTGTGTACTTTCTTTTTATAAGAAGGTATACGCTAATCCGTCGATCACAACCAGAAGGTATACGCTGTATACCCTCGACTGCAGCCCTGGATATCAGGCGAACAAATTATGCCAAACTAACACCTTTCTTGTTCAGAAGAATCCCTTTAATTACTCCCCTAAGTACCTACTAACCTATACCACCTTATAGAATAGATGTCAGCATTTGCGATTTACAGAAATTAGTACATAGCAACACAATCACAACTCAAGCGCAACATACAGACATACCGTATTAATAATTTGGAAGAATTTGCCATCCAGAATTGGTGGAAGTTTGTGCTTATTTAGTGATTGACCATGGCTTTCGTCGCTATTGCTTAAGTCACTGGTACAGGTACTGCTTGTAGTGGGTAACGGCTTTGGTCGCGATGAGGACGCAAAGTAGTGCTTGAGCGAAACTTGCTTTCTGCTGTCTGCTGATTCGGTTTCAGGGATATAATCTGAATCGTCTTCTCCAGACGCATGAAATGGGTCAGGAAGACTGTCCATGTCATCATCATAAGCATTCATTTCACATTTGTATGTGTCCATATATTATCAAACTAGAAAAGCAAAATAATGGATATGAATACCAATTTCACAACCCATTCTTTATTAGTAAAAAAATCTCAGTAAAAGCAAGAGGACATTAATTTTTACTTAGACTTTATTAAACCTTATAAAAATAAAGGTAAGGTACTCACCCATATACTACTTATACCGTTCTACAAATTACACAACACGACGACTGGAATAATACTGCTTCGCCATCGATCACACAGAAACGAAAGATGAAAAATGAGTAAGGAATTATTTTTAAACGCGCAGCGCAACTAAGCAAAATGTAAGCTCTTGTTTTGACTACCTGATTATATTCTCTAACGTCAGTATTTTTCGAATGAAGCATTGATATAAATAGGATAAGTACTTAAGTACCTACATATTAAGTACCTTGGTACTTGTAAGTTTAAGTACTCAATCCATTAGTGTTAAGTACCAGTATTTTTGGATACTTAAAGTAATTTTTTACTTAAGCAACTATTTTAAGTACTTTGGAATATTCAGTACTACTTTTAAGTACTAAGTACCAGTATTAATCAAAGTACTTAAAAATTTAAGTATAAGTATCGGAAAATTTGTGGTACTTAAAGTAAAGTACTTAAAGTACTTTTGGTACTGAAGTACGTATTGCAAGTACTTTTGGTATTCAGTACAACAGCTCTGTTGCTAGGCCAACAGATTTTCATTACCTAAACAACCCAAATTTACTCGGTAAAATACAAACCTCTTGTGCAATTATAAGTGAGTAAATTTGGGTTGTTGCAATTCAAATCTGTTTCCTTTTAGCAATTGAACTCGAAAAACTGTCAACCTAAAAATGCTCCACCTGCGGTGTCGCATTTTTATTAGTTGACAGTTTTTCTCGTCTAATTGCTAGGCAACAGATTTTCATTACCTAAACAACCCAAATTTACTCGGTAAAATACAAACCTCTTGTGCAATTATAAGTGAAAAATTCACGGTAATGTTATAGAAAATAAAATAATCACAATGCTTTGGAGTTTGGAGCATCGCATGAGCTATAAATATTCGAAATCGATGTCGTGAAATAAAAAGTTATGATAGTTCAAAGTGCCCACTTTTTATCTGCTACACGAAATTTGAAAGTTGACGGTCATTTTTCTAAAAAATGTGCATAACAGGGTAGGTAAATATGAATGATTTAGATTCTGCTATAAATGTACTTTCATTTACAAAAGGAATTATTGATGTATATCGCTTAGTTGCTGAGAAAATAAATACTTTCGGTGGTCTAGTCGCGCGCGCGAAAATGAGTAAAGTTCAACTTTAGCGGCCTATAACTTTTGTCACGACCACGGGAAAATGTCGTAAAGCGAAATACATTTCTGAACAAAATGGTGTGTCCCAATTCCTTCTACTGTGAAAAAAAAACTACCTCAAATAAGCGAGATAGCGCCGTCTCTCCGCTGCACTACCTATATGCAAAAATAGCTATTTTGTGCATTAAGAACGCAAAATGATATATTGTCGATTGAAAGTGGCAGTTGCCGCGCGACGAAGGACAATCAATTTGCGCTCGAATTACCAAAGGTATGCCTATACGTGACGTCATTGGGATAACTTGGCTCTACCGTTCAATACTTTATTACTTTAATGGGGTTTGTGTAGTCCTACCAGTTAATAAAAGTGTATCCCCTTTACGGAAGTGATAAGATTTTTTTGTACTCATTGAATGGAAAGATAATGTTTCCAAGCATCCTCGATGCACGGGAAAACGACTTTCCCGCATCGCGGTGTTTTTTAGTTTCCGCTGGAGAGAAGGGGTTATGCGCGTTCTTCGGTTGGTAGTACTTATTGAAGTCAACAAACGTCATGTCATGGTTAACTGTCATCTGCTGTAAAATCAATTAAACCGTTGGTTGAGGGTATTTAGTGCGATTAATCGGAAACAGACGTACACTAAGTTTTACGTAAATATATAAACAAGAACTTATAACGCAATCAAATTATTTTTCAGAATTGGAACTCAAGAAAAAGTAAAATTTATTGTTAAAACGTCTTAAAATGTGACCAGTGATATTCTGCAACTATTCGCATATGCAGTTTAAGAAAGCACATATTAACACACACAAAGCTTCCAAGGATTTTAAATGTAACGAGTGTATTTACGCAACTCAAGATAAATCAAATTTGAGAACACATTTCTTCACACATGTCTTCTGGGAATATTAAATACGATCAGTACACTTACGCGACCAATAAGAGCACTCTTTTCAAAGCATATTTCTTAACATTGAAGACTTCCAAGGATATTTAGTGCAAACGATGCAATGCCGTGACCAGTAGTAGCACTCATTGCAAAGGCAAAATATGTATTAACCAAAGATGTGGAAGTTTTAAATGTGACCAGTGCAATGGTAGTTACAAAATTATGTTACCAACCAAACATATGATTGTGTTACCAACTCATGATTAAAAAAAAACTAATTTACAAAACTATTAATTTTGACCTTTTTTTACGCAATTCGTTACAAAAAATATTGTACCTAACTGCAAACTTTCGGAAAGAATTTTCCCGCATTCGCACTAAATGCAGCACTCCGTACGGTCGTGCTGCAAACAAAGTGCTCATGCGGGAAAATTAACTTACCGAACTTGTTAGGTAAATAACTAGTTCAATCCATGTCAAATGCGTCAAGTTTCTCACATTAAACTTACAAAGCATCAATTATTGCATGTTATCAATACAAATATTTAAAGTTACAATAAAATATGTAAGTAAAAAAAGTAAAAATTATATTAGCGTTTTCAAATAAGGATGAGACCTCTAGCGGCAATAAAAAAAACTTAAAAGGCTGATTAAATTTCTGAAATAAGTATATTAAGTCATGATACAATAAAAGAAGATATGACATCGCGCAGGTGGGCGGACCTACGTGACGTCACGCAAAGAGTAAAACGAGGAGTAAACAAAGAAACTGTAATTTATCGCTTGTATATTTCGTGGAAGTACATATTTTAATTGCGAGTTTTTAATTAAAAAGCGTTTAAAATGAGATGTGCGGTGTATGGCTGTCATGTAGACAATCAATCGAAGAATTATGATCGCGAAATAAAGTTTTTTGGCTTTCCAAAAGCTTAAGAACTTACAACGTGTATGGCAGCGTTTGTGTAAGCGTAAGGACAAATTTAATATTTGCAGTGCGAAAATTTGTTCAAAACATTTTACTGAAAGCGATTATGCTTAAAGCACGAGTTGTTGGGGATATGCGCCAAAAAATTATCGACCTCTTAAAAAAGAAGCTATCCCGTCAAAATACCTGCCAAATAAAATAGAAAAACGCGGTTGTCATAAGAGAGAAGAACGAATTGCAAGAAGAGAGCAGAACAAAGCTGTTGCAAAATTTCGGAAAAGTATAATGTGTTTTCTGTGCTGTATAGACGATTAATCGTTTTGAAGCGAATAAAATAGGTTTATGTAATTAAATTTACGCGAAAACTTGTTTGTATTAAATTGTTTCAATTAAAAAGAACGATTATACTTATAGAATGTGACAATGAAGATACCATACCACTATGAAACCCTTACTTTATTTATACGACATGCGGCCACTCAACCAATTTTATTTTATAATTCTGAAGGAGTACTTACAATGGGACAAATATGTAACAATTAGTTTTCTATACAAGGCAACCGCCCCAAAGAAAATCAGAATGGATTTAATGAGATAAAGCATTAATAATCATATAGAAAAACCGTGCAAACTCAAAACGTTACTCTATACGTGACGTCATGCGCGAACTCGGACGAATTCAATGCGGCTACGTATCATATCTTCTTTTATTGTATCATGATATTAAGTGGTACGTTTAGCTTCTCTGTTGCCTTATATTTATATCTAAATGCATTCCTAGATGCATTCAGTATGATTACTCAACCAAATTAATTGAGTAATTGCAATGGCACTTCTAATTCAAGTATGAAGCCTATGTCATTTTCAAATTTGGCGGTGATTCTTGTGACGTCATTGGGATAAAAACGTCATCTGCGTTTAGTTATAGGCATACCTTGTCTTATTGTACCATGGAATTACCCACAAGATTTTTTCTAGAATCCGGCAGTTCACATATTTATGTCCATGAACTTGGCAGGCCTACTACAGCAGACCATGGTTCTGCTTACTCATATCGTTAGTGTTCCGTTAGTGCACGTTAGTGCCGCTGAAGAAATCGTTAGTGCACAAAAGGAAACTTTACTATTTTTAAAAAATATTTGTGGGCCTGCTAACTTCATGCCAGCCGACCCATTTAAGAAAATCGATGCAATCTTTACACTAGTTAAACTAGCAGCGTTAGTGCTCGTTAGTGCCGCCAATATAAACGTTAGTGCTCAACGTGTAACAGCTCAAAACGTTGTAAAAAGGGGTCTGCTAACTTCATGCAGCAGACCCACATTTGTCAAATTGGGCCCTGTCCTAATGCGAATTTGAAGCAGCTCGTTAGTGCTCATTAGTGCTTCACATGCGAACGTTAGTGCTGCAAGGGATCCGCGTCAAAAAGGTACCAAACCACCTCAAAATTAAATTTGACTTATTGGGACCTGCCAACTTTACGCCAGTAGGCGAACGAACGAAATCCGTTTGATTTTCTACTTTAATCGACCGGTAACTATTAGTGCTCGTTAGTGCCGCCAATATAAACGTTAGTGCTAAAAGTGTACCAGCTCAAAACGTTGTAAAAAGGGGTCTGCTAATTTCATGTAGCAGACGCACATTGGTCAAATTGGCCCTGTCCTAATGCGAATTTGAAGCGGCTCGTTAGTGCTTCACATTCGAACGTTAGTGCTGCAAGGGATCCGCATCAAAAAGGTACCAAACCACCTCAAAATTAAACGTGGCTTATTGGGACCTGCCAACTTCACGCCGGTAGACCAACAAACGAAATCCGTTTGATTTTCTACTTTAATCAATCTATCACTTTTAGTGATTGTTAGTGTTGCAAAAAAAAGTTAGTGCTCAAAGCGCAAGAGCTCAAGCGTGAAATTATGGGTTTGCTAAATTCATGCAGCAAGCCCACATTTATTAAAGTGGTCCTGCCTTAATGCGAATCTGAAGCTCCTCGTTAGTGCTCGTTAGGACTTCACTTGTAAACGTCAGAAATAGAAACCAGAGCTAATAAAGACATCACTAATTTAATCGTTATATAGTTATTCACAAAGCAAACTCATATTTTCACATCTTGAGCTGTTGCTTTGAGCACTAACGCTTTTTTTTGCGACACTAACGAACACTAATTGATCGATTAAAGTAGAAAACCAAACGGATTTCGTTTGTTGTATACCGGCGTGAAGTTGGCAGGTCCCAATAAGCCACGTTTAATTTTGAGGTGGTTTGGTACCTTTTTGGCGGATCCCTTGCAGCACTAACGTTCGCATGTGAAGCACTAATGAGCACTAACGAGCTGCTTCAAATTCGCATTAGGACAGGGCCAATTTGACAAATGTGGGTCTGCTGCATGAAGTTAGCAGACCCCTTTTTACAACGTTTTGAGCTGTTACACTTTGAGCACTAACGTTTATATTGGCGGCACCAACGTTGGTAGTTTAACTAGTGTAAAGATTGTATCGATTTTCTTAAATGGGTCTGCTGGCATGAAGTTAGCAG